AAAAAAAAACAACACTGATATTTAATTGTCGTTTATTGAAATAACATTAATTAACCGCATCTACTGTCTAATGGAGAAACAAGCATTTATGTAATAAAAGTCTACATCGAAGTAATTGGTACAATCATTGTGATTTCTGGTATTGTTTTTGTTTTAATAATTTTCCTATGCTAGGAGTCCGGTGTTGACAGTAAGAAGAAATTAAGATACGTATGTTATTCAGTTAGAGATGGACAGTATTTATTTTTTAGAAAATTAAGAATTGAAAAACTTTTCAAAAACATACAAGTCGGTTATAAGAGAATAATATTCGTTTGGCAACAATTTCCAGAAATCATGTTTAAATTCACATGAAGAAGTTTGTGATTATGAAGATATTTTTGTGGAAAAAAAGTTTTATAGTGCAGAATTGTTTTGCAGTTCACTGAATTCCAACTGAATATACAGGATAACTAATGATTATTTCAGTCAGGGTGATCATAAAAGGATTAACAAAAATTTGTAGAATTTGTTTTGTACTTTCATAGTCATGGAATTTGCTCTTAAACGTCTGTAATAAGCATTTAATTTTAATTTCGTGATACTTTTTTATTCAATATTAAATCCCCGTTTTTATTACCTTTTCTTTATTTACGCTAGAATCGGATGTAACTATAAAGAATAGCTCTAAGTTCGTTATTGTGCCATATTACGTTTTGTCCGTTGAAGACGGCAAGCGTGGAAAATTGAAGATATGGAAGTGGAAAAATCATCTCGTATAGGGTGCAGCGTCTCGGGCCATTTTGCAATCTAACCCAGCAGAAAAAAGGAACAACTTCCTTTCTTTTGCCCCTATGATTTATTGCTATCATTTTTACCGAGCGTAAAGGAATGTATCAACTAAAATAACGAATGGCATAAACAAAAACGAACCTATGTCGGACTTTTATCATCTATATTTGATTCCTTTTCCGACAAAAGAAAAGCCGTTAATTCTCCTCGTCAAAGCAACAATCCTGTAAAATTGACGAAGTATGCAGGTACGATCCAGTCCGATATGTAGTGACAAAAACCTATAGTAAACTTAGTTGTTATATAACAAATACAATATAAACTACACTAACTACCCACAATTAGAGGTATTTCGAAATATCATGGAACGCGAAATACCTACGCAAGGGCCGGACTATTTTTAATAACTAATTCATATCCTACATTTCAATAATATTGATTCGACTGATAACCATGTGTTTAACTAATTGAACCAGATACAGAGCTCCAAATGACACTGTACGCAGTGTTTTTATAAGGTGGAAATGTAAAAATCAAAGAAATTGATTAATTATACACATCAAAAAATTAGGGATGCCTATGTCAAAAAATTAGGGATATGAAGGGGATGGCATTTTTGGTAATAAATTAAATAATAAATTTGCTTATTACAGATATTTCTTTTTCAGTTCATTTAAATTAAAATTTCAAAAATTATAATCTTAACCAATCAAACAACATATTTTAAATTAGATTAGATGATTAAATAAAACGTACGCGATAGAGTTTATTATTAATAGTCTTAAAAGTGAGTTGTTAATAACCTTGACAAAACTTTCAGTCTCTCTCCAGTCTCTCAGAGTCTTTCAGAGTCTTTCAGCGTCCCTGAGAGCGTCTATCGCAGTCTTTCGCAGTCCCTCAATTATTGCCTAGGTGTTTTTATGGATCTCTCACAGTCTCTGTATGAGAGACTAGAACGATAAAATTGTTAATTCAGAGATTTGAGTCTCTCACAGAGAGACTGAATGAATAAAACTGAAAAATTGAGAGACTCGAGTCTCTCGTAGAAAGACTGGGATCTCTGAAATATGTTGAACTTAGAAAATTTTAACCATGTCTATCGAGACACCACTTATTGAGAGATTCGAGTCTCTCGTTCAGAGACTGGATACGAAATGAGGATCTCTCTATGAGCAACTCGAGTCTCTCGTTCAGAGACACTAAACAGTTTTTTTGACAGTCTCTCGACAGTCTCTCTCAGCGACACCAGAGAGACTCGATGAGAGACGGAGACTCGAGTCTCGCTTTCGGAGACTCTGAGAGACTGAACATTTTATCTCGGGTATGTATCTATACATTAATATTTAACAGTTAATATCTACCACTTTGTCAGACGTTATAAAATTATCTATAGAAAATTTCCTCTAAGGATTAGCAGGGTGAGTTTTGTGACATAGTTATTAGGGATTAGTGCGGAGTTTTCCTACTATATTTTTAATTAAATCAAACACATTATGCTTTTATTAAACGTGTTAACCTCATTTAGCTCAAACTTTCCAAAGCGCTCTACTTTTGTCGGAACGTGCAAGGAAATTAAAATAATACACACATACAACCACATTGTAAAGGCCATTGAAGGGAGTTTAGAACAAAATATGAGGTACACTTGTATAACGCTATACTAAACTAACATCATCGTCAATTAAATTATCTGCTCAATTTGGTTGGTACTTAAACGCGAATTAGCTCCAAAAGAAGTTCAATAAAATTCAGATTCTGAGTCGAGGTTAAGTAGCGCAGAACCTTTGATCCCTTATACACTGACCTTCTATATTTAGGGCGCCAAATGGAGAAAACAACAACCATAATGTTCTCCATTTATATCCCTTAGCCTCTCTAGATATTCGTCGTAAAACTCAAAGAAAGCATAACGCATGTATCGAGTTTGACATTTGGAATAAAATAAAACAATAAAAATAAAATTGCTGTAAAATGGGAGTTCTTTCTTGCAATTTATTTTTTCGTTGAAGGGCCGTAACGCTGGATTTTGTAAAATAATTCCTGGTTATCTTTCACTCTATAAGATACCTTAAAAGGGTTTACGACACCATTACTAACATTTTTTTGTAGAAAGAGATTAATATCTAAAATGTTATAAGTAAATACAAGAATATGAAACACTTTGAAACTCAGTTGTGATTAATATTAAATCCTAATGTGAAAATTCATTTTAATTTTTATCCATTATAAATTACCTCAAGTTAATGAAGAAAAATTGTTACTGCTGTCATACCCTCGTCGGGAATCGAAACAGGGACCTTCGGTCTGTGAGTACGTTGTAGCTTAGTAGTCAGAATATTGGTGCGTAAAGCCAAAGGTTTCAGGTTCGACTCCCGGCGAGGGTGTGACAGCAACAACAATTTTTTCTCATTAACGTAGTTAAGTCAGTAAGTAATACTCATGCAGAGAGGCACATTTATGCAATTTTTCAAAGCAACAAAGCGTTGCATTTTGTCATGAACTTATATCTTGCAAACCGTTTATCCCCATGGAATGCCCTCAATAATTTGTATGCGAGTCTGCAGAAGGAGAATGTAGAATGTGCATCATTGAACCGTTTCATCGTTCCTCGCTTATGCAAGAAAATTCCGGAAATGGGCGCAAATTCCGAATATACATTCATAAATCAAGCGGTTTGTTTATGGCGATTTTGGATCAGTTTTCGAAACGCAGTGGTCTACGGGGAAAAAGATAACTTATGATTTCCATCCGCTCCAGATAAACGCGGGAAATTCCCAGTATTTCAGTGCAATATATTGACCATTAGGAAATGCTTTATTGTTAGAATTAATCACCAGCGTGTACAGACAAAAAAAATAACTTTTTTTGATCATCGTGATTACAATAACCTTCTGATTCCCTACACTATGACAGAAAATGTTTCTTGACTGTTGTTTGTATTAGCGCAAAACAAAACAATTGAGTTACCTAGATCGGACAATGGTTAGTAGGTCAGCCCGTTTTGAACAAAAACCCAGCTGTAACAGACTTTTGGTGATTATTATTACGATAAAGCAAATAAATTTAACCCTTATTTTTCTTCTGTGATGTCATTAATCTGACTAACCAAGGTTGCATTAAGTAAAACCAACGTAATGAGCTTATCTCAAAATTTATTAAACGTCAAGAAAAGTAGGCACTTTTCTGCTAAAATAAATAATCACATATTTAAATATTCCCCACATAAAATAAAAAACGTATACAGGATGCGTTAAAGGTTATCGGCGAAAATTAAGCGTCCCAGTTCTTTCTTTTAATGAATTTGGTATGATAATTTAAAAATAAGCTATTATTTCTCGTAAAAAGCAAAGGTTAAAAAATGGTTATTGTGGGTTATCCCTAAGATATTATATATTATTTTGATCTATCTCGTAGGGTTCAGTCAGCGTTTGCAATGTAAGCACAAAAAATGTGTTTATTTACGACATCACATTACAAACCTCTAAAATTATCAGTGTTTCCCTACTATATCATGCATGTATTATACATATAAACCTTCCTCTTGAATTACTCTATCTATATAAAAAAACCGCATTAAAATCCTTTGCGAAGTTTTAAAGATCTAAGCATACATAGGAACAGACAGCGGGGGAAATGCGTTGCATGATTTCGTTACATAGCATCTCGCATTAAACGAACTTACCCCACCGTGCGTAAAGAAGTTTCACTTGAAAAATTCTGAAGAAATGTGTGCTTCAGATAACAGCTGAAAATGGTATTACTGAAGCAGCTTATGATAAATGTACGATTCAACTTTTTTATAATACTCCGTATAACTTATTGTCGTCATTGAGAATCTCTCTCATAATTTTGCTTGTTTACAATTACGGAAAACCCCTAAATGTATTTAATTGTTCCCTCTTTTGTTATCTTAATGGACGCTTTTAATTAATTACCAACAGAGAGGCCGGCCACATTTCCAAACTCATTTGCTAGACATTTAGTGACCCACTTTATGACTAAAAATAAGTGAAATAAATAAATAATGACTAAACACACAAAACCGTTTTTATAGCTTCGGTAATTTACTGCCTCTTTTCACCACTTCTAAGCAGTAATAATCTTAATCTAATTTTACTTAATAAGAAACGGGATTAGAGATAAATTATTAAATTTCCTAGGGTGCACATTTTGTGAAACATCAACAAGATATTACTGAGTAAATTATTTTCAGTAATTATAACCTAAAAATGAATGAGTACAATAAGGGTTTTTGTGGTTTCGAGTACAAAGGGTGTGGGATACACGGCGATGGGCAACTGCACTCGGGCATGTAAAGTATGCTAATTTTATAGGACAGTTGCACTCGCTCTACGAAAGATAGCCTGGTGTTAAAGCAGGTAATTTTTGTAGTTATTGTAGTTATTATATATACATATATATATATATATAAATGCACACACATTTATATAATATAATAAGTTAATAATGTATCTACTTATATACATACCTACAGGGTAGTCCAAAAAGTACGTACTATGCTCATGACGGTCAAACTGTCAAGATTAACTCAAAAATTTTTCAAACAAAACTTGTTCACAACTAAAACACAAAATCGTCTGTGTTATCCGAATTTAATTTACTATCGACAGTGTTCAAAAATAAAAGAAAAGTTATAGGAGAAAGCTTTCAAATCTCTAGTGGTTTAAAAACTTTTATGAACGGATTTAATTACATCACGTTACGTTACGTTACGTTACGTTACCTATGTACTGAGTGCAAGTGTTCTATTACCTGGAGTCTACCCAAAAGTGTAATTGTCCCATGTAATTACACTAATAAAATTTTATTTTTATCTTAATTACCAACCCCGAGTGCAACAGACCTACATCCGAGTTACAGACAGATGGACAAACAAACCGAAACTATAATATGAGCTCCGTTTTCTCTAATTGGCTTCCGATATAAAAATGTTCAGTCTCTCAGAGTCTGTGAAAGCGAGACTCGAGTCTCCGTCTCTCTGGTGTCGTTAATAGAGACTGTCGAGAGACTGTCAAGAAAACTGTTTAGCGTCTCTGAACATTGAGAGACTCCAGTCGCTCATAGAGAGATCCTCATTTCGTATCCAGTCTCTAAACGAGAGACTCGAATCTCTGAATGAGAGACTCGAATCTTTCAATAAGTGGTGTCTCGATAGACATGATTAAAATTTTCCAAGTTCAATATATTTCAGAGATCCCAATCTTTCTACGAAAGATTCGAGTCTCTCAATTTTTCAGTTTTATTCACTTAGTCTCTCTGTGACAGACCCGAATCTCTGAATTAACAATTTTATCGTTCGAGTCTCTCATACAGAAACTGTGAGAGATCCATGAAAACACCTAGGCAATAACTGAGAGAATGTGAAAGATTGTGAGAGACGCTCTCAGAGACCCTGAAAGACTATGAGAGACTGGAGAGAGACTGAAAATTTTTGTGTAGGGGCTACATAAGACTTACAACAGACTTTTCTTTTTTAAAAATATGTAAATTTTATCTTGAATAGAAATTTAACGCACGTGTTGAAGAAACCAATAATCAATCAGGTTGGCTGTAATCAGAACAGAAACTGTTCATATATGTGACATACGATATATAATACAGAGACAGTGACGTAGCTACTTTTTCAGTGGTATTCGACTTTAGACCTTAGATACAGCCTGTGTTAAGTTGGTGTAGTAAAAAATGGTCTCTGTGGTTGTGGGTTGTAAAGGGGCCATGGCATGGGGCTTGTCCGAAGGCAAATTGTCCCCCTTCCTTCGACGCCCCTTAACAATTGTTCCAAGTTTTCACCCTCTCCCTACTGGAGGCAGATTACTAACCACAATAAGGTTAGGGAACAGATATTTAAATTAGACGAGGGTCGTTACCCACTAACGTAGTTGGTAGCATCGCCATTTCGAACATGATGCCATATTGCAATGCACAAGTACGTGAAGTGGTTGTCGTTAATATTTCTTTTTTGAGAATTTATCTTCAGCTGTATGTCCGCTTTAATACTGACGATAAGGCATCAGTAAACACCACCTTTTCAAATAGAGATTCGCATTCCTCTAATCAACAGGAAAGACATCACCACGACATACGTGAGTGTTGTCTTTTCCTACCGTAATCTTATGATCCGAAACAATCAATTAAAAGTATTCTTCAATTAACGTTGGATTAGAGGTCAGACTGACAAAGTTACGGTAGAGTAAGACAACACGAGCGAAGTATGTGTTCTCGTGGTCATGTTGTTGCTTTCGCTTACCAGGAACTTGAATCTTAAAAATGAAACTCTTGACATTTTCATACAATGACATATTTTGTATAAATAATCATTCGAGCGTTGGTTTTATAATAAGCAACGTCACATTATTTTAATTTAGAATGATATGATCTAATTTTTCTTTCGATGAAAGTAGTCTGTCTTTGGGTGTATGTAACAGCCCGAGATAAAAATGTTCAGTCTCTCAGAGTATCTGAAAGCGAGACTCGAGTCTCCGTCTCTTATTGAGTATCTCTGGTGGCGTTGAGAGAGACTGTCGAGAGACTGCCAAAAAAAAACTATTTAGCGTCTCTGAACGAGAGTTTCGAGTTGCTCATAGAGAGATCCTCATTTCGTATCCAGTGTCTGAACGAGAGACTCGAATCTCTCAATAAATGGTGTCTCGACAGACATGGTTAAAATTTTATAAGTTCAAGATATTTCAGAGATCCCAGTCTTTCTACGAGAGACTCGAATCTCTCAATTTTTCAGTTTTATTCATTCAGTTTCTCTGTGAGAGACTCGAATCTCTGAATTAGCAATTTTATCGTTCGAGTCTCTCATACAGAGACTGCGAGAGATCCATAAAAACACCTAGGCAATAACTGAGAGACTGTGAAAGACTGTGAGAGACGCTCTCAGAGACGCTGAAAGACTCTGAGAGACTGGAGAGAGACTGAATATGAAACTGAGTTATGAGT